CCCACCCCCAGCTTTTTCCTAATTGGTTCAGGTTCCCAAGGCCTGCCTCAGCTTAACAGAATTATTATCTGTTACAAATTCCCTACCCTGGAAAAAGAGAATAACTGATATTTTAGCAAGTTTTTGTAATTCACCAAATTAAACACCAAACATTTTTTCTTATAGGAATGTATTCATTTCGGAGGGTGTCATAATAAGAGAGAGATTTTCTCTCTTTCTCTGCGATTCTTTTTCCCGGGAGCCCAGTCAAGGGCTAAGCCCTGGAATCCCATTTGTCATCACCGAAAAGAAAACAACAGATGTGAGAAACTTAACCATACGTGCAAAAAAGGAACAGGGAAAAAAAAAAAAAAAAAGAAAGGCAAGGAAGAATTTTTAACAAATGGAATGTAAGACGAGAACTTTATTTTTTTTCTGAAATTCACCTCCTTGGAAATATTTTATCTTTCAAACTCTCTTCTTTCCTGTATGTTCCATGGACTGAAAAAATCTCAGGCTCAAGTAACCAAATCAGTCTTTAGAAGGAGAGAGGCCCAGGCAGGGGCGGCTGGCCTGGAGTCCGGCCTGCGGGCCTTTGGGGTCAGGAGCGCCCGCACCACCTGTCCACCCCTCGCTCCTCCCAGGGAGGTGGGCCTGGGCCCAAAGTTTGCATCTAAAGCGCATTCTGCTTTGGGGGTTGTTGCACCGCCTCGCTGGGGTGGGTTTTTTGTTTTTTTGTTTGTTTGTTTGTTTTTGTTTTTGGACTTTGGGTTAGTTTTTCTTCCAGTTAACTTTGTGAGACCCCCCCAGGGCAGGAGTCATCTCTGTCCTTTCTTTCCCCTCCATCCCAGCGTCCTGTCAACTACGACTTTGCAGAGAATGAAGACTGGGGCAGGGGAGGAAACTCCCCGCAGGACCCGGGGGTGACACGGAGACAGAGGCTCCATGGGGCTCCCAGGCAGCTCCCCTGGGAGTTTCAGCGTGTTCTGGCCGCTTCCAACCCTCCCCTCCCAGGACTCCGGCTCAGGCTCGGCTCCTGCCCTGCACTCACCATGTCCTGCAGGACCCAAGACCTGAGCTCTTCGCCGAGCTCCCTGCGCCTCGCACGACGGGAACGCCCGTGGTCACTCAGGGCAGGCCGGGAGTGCTCAGCAGGGAGGGCAGCAATGCCCCGCCCCTGGGGCTGATTGGACGGTTCTCTTCTCTGCTCACGTCTGAGTGGAGAGTTCACCAGTCACATCCCAAATCCCCTGATTGGACAGTTCTTTAGACTCTGCCCCTGCTCTTCTGGTTGGTCAGCTTGCTAGCCGTGAGCTCTGCTGATTGGGCAGTTCTTCAGGCCCCACCCTGGCTTTCCTAATTGGTCAGGTTTCCAGGCCCTGCCTCAGCTCCTTTGATTGGACAGGTCTCCAGGCTCTGCCCCAATCCCCCTGATTGACAGTTCTCCATGCTCCTTCTACACTCCCTTGATTGGTCAGTTCTCTAGGCCCCACCCCAGCTGCCTGATTGGTCAGTTCTCAGGTCTTGGGTCCTGCAGGCAGCATCCCCCATCCACAGTGGTCTCCTTCCTGAAATGAAAATGGTGCTGACTTAGAGGCAAACCTGGGCCCTTCGGTTATCCACCTGTAGAACAAAGCAGCTTTGGCCAGGCCTGGTGGCTCAGGCCTGTAATCCTAGCACTTTGGGAGGCTGAGGTGGGCGGATCATCGAGCGAGTCAGAAGATCGAATGACCATCCGCTAATATGAAAGAAACCCCCGTCTCTACTAAAAATAGCACAAAAAAGATATAGCCCAGGTGGGGGGGGGAGCCTGCGTAATCCACAGGCCTAAACATCAGGAGGAACTGAAGGTAAAAGGAGAATGGCGTGAAACCCTGGGAGGCAGAACTTGTAGTGACAGCTGAGATTCGCGCCAACTCGCACCCAGCCTGGGCGACAGAAGCAGAACTCTGTCTCAAAGAGCAAAACACAACCCAAACAAACAAACTGTGTCTCAAAAAAAAAAAAAAAAAAAAAAAGCAGAGAAAAGCAAAAAGAAAAAGAAAAAAGCAGCTTCTTCTGTCCTCAGTCTGTTGCCAGATTCCATGATGCTGGAGGAAGTCTCGTCTCTCTGCTGACCAGTAGACACCTGGGGAGGCCCATGGGGTCAAGTGAGTGACCAAGGAAAAGTTTACCTTCCCTAACTAGAGTCGGCACAACTGCTAGAACTGAACTCTTGAGCCATTAGCAATGGTCTAGCTGGCCGGGCGTGGTGGCTTACGCCTGGAATCCCAGCACTTGGGAGGCCGAGGCAGGCAGGTCAACTAACGTCAGGTGTTTGAGACCAGTCTGGCCAACATGATGAAACCACGTCTCTACTAAAAATACAAAAAAATTAGCTGGGCGTGGTGGTGCGCACCTGTAATCCCAGCTACTCGGGAGGCTGAGGCAGAAGAATCGCTTGAACCTGGGAGGTGGAGGTTGCAGTGAGCTGCACTCCAGCTTAAGCAACAAGAGCGAAACTCTGTCTCAAAACTAAAACAAACAACAAAAACAAAACAGAACAAACAAACACTGTGGCAACAACTCCTTATCCTAGGTCAATATTTTGAGGTAAAGCACTCTGGGGATATTTTGCCTCACAGTTCCCAAGTAAAAATCCAGGTCACGAATATCTCTGTACCTATCAAAACTCCAACTTCAGAGCTGAGTGCTTAATGTGCAGGTAGATGAAATGGCTTGAATATTCTAGAGGCAAATGACATATAAACAAGGGGGCATAATCCCTGGAAGCCTGTTCGTAGGGCCGAGAGCAAACAGATTTTATAGGGTCCCCGCCCACTGCTCACCTTTGCAGGGGCTATTCCCTATACTTTGATCATGGTAGCCACTTAAATGAGCATGTTCCTTACCAATCCCACCAGACATTCTCCTGCTGGGCCACAGTACAGGGTTTCACCAAGACATACCCTACCCTTGGGGTTAGAGACGTTACTGACAGTGACCAAGGTGCTCAGTTCTTTTCTCAAACTACACTGTAGCGGGATTGATAAGGAATCAGAGAGACCGATGTGTTCAGGAGGATATTTACTATTTAGGTGCCCTGACCCAGTCAGAGTAACATGCAAATGACTGAGCCCTCAACAAAGAGTTAAGTTACCTTTTAAGCATTTTGTGGGGCGGGGGAGAGATTTGTGCAGGGGGAAGGATATTACAGAAGCGAGAAACAAAGACAGTTATTCAATTAACTGAGACATGCATTACATCATTTCTTACTTTTCAAGGAAAAACATGTTTTACAACTTGAGTTTATCTGTCTAATGACGTTGCAGCTGCCCAGCTAGGGAAACAGGGTCTTCACAATGCCTAGGAAAGGAGGAGAGATAAGGCTCACCAGCCACAGAAAAACAGGCAGTTAATTTTTAAAGGACTCCAGCTCTTTCTTTTTCTCAGGGGGAATTGGGTTTTCATTTTGGTTTTTGGTTTTTGTTTTTTTTGAGACAGAGTCTTGCTCTGTCGCCCAGGCTAACCATCCCTGACCAATATGGTGAAAACCCCGTCTCACTAAAAACGCAAAAATTAGCCGGGTGTGGTGGCAGGTGGCTGTAGTCCAGCTACTGGGGATGCTGAGGCAGGAGAATCACTTGAACCCGGGTGGTAGAGGTGCAGTGAGCTGAGATTGTGCCACTGTCACTCTCCACCTGGTGGACAGAGTGAAGACTCTTCTCATATTAATAAATAAATAATAATATATAATAAAATAAATATAATAAAACTAAAAAAAGAGCTCCAGTGTGTGTGGAACACGAGTTAAAACAAATTAAAGAATGTGTACAGCAGAAAACTCAGTTGTAAGTGGCAAGAAATACCCAAATTCCTGGCCAGGCGCAGTGGCTCACGCCTGTAATCCGCAGCA